CGTCCGTTCGTTCGTACGTTCGTTCGTTCGTCCGTCCGTCCCTCCGTTCGTTTGTCCGTCCGTCCGTCCGTCCGTTCGTACAAAATAGTTGATGCATCATTACGTTTTGAATTTTACATGATGCTAGCTTACAAATAAAAAAATGATACTCAATGGAATGAAACGTGATCTGAAATGTGTAAACATTATGCAGAAGCTGAATAAATCTAAATATTCTCCAAAACACGCTTTTTTGTCCAAGCTTTCAGTTTCTCTGACAAAATATTTGCTTTTTTCAATCATCAATTGAAACTAATCCAGTAAGAGTTCTTATTGTTTAGATATAATTATTAAGCTTTGTCCTCTATTGTAAATATTGTTATTTTTTGTCCAAGGTTTTATTGTAATTCTCCATGCGCCGCTAGAGTAAATAATACTGTTTATTTTCTCCATTCTTTGTTTCTGTTCGAGGGGAAGGAAGCTATACGTGTGAATGAAAAGTTACGAGTAAGAAGATGTCTAAACACAATTCAAGTGCCATTCAACTCTTTCCGTTGTCTTGTCTAGCTAGTTTATTGTAAACCATGAACTACACTGACAACTAATTAGAATCACGGCTATCTCGTCCAGATCATGTCATCATTTTTCGGTGTAATATCGGTTTGCTTTTTTACTATTGTGGTTTATAAACACAAGGGAATCGATTTCCTTGCGCTGATATGACTCCTGATAAACTGAGAAGACCTGTTTGGAAAGTGAAGTGGAAGGAGTTAAAAGAAGAAATGCAAGGCGGAGGTTATAAGTTAGTTTTGCTCGATCTTTTCTTGTTTCTGTATTTCCCTTCCAGTTGTTTCCCATCCCATCCAATGCCTTTCTTTCTTTTGTTTGTTTTTTTTCTTTTTTCTTTTTTGTTTTTTGTTTTTGTTTTTTTCGTTTTGTTTGTTTTTTTTTTTAATTCTCGTTATCAGTTTGCCGGCTTTCTTCCATCTTTCATATTCATGATATTTTTCCTCCGTCTGTCTGTCAGCTCATTTATTTATTCTCCCAGTTATTTATTCTTTTATCTCTTAAATCTCTGATCTGTCTCTCTCTTTCTTATTCCTTCTTTTGTTTTCACCGACTATTTGTCAACCTTTTGCAGCAAAGAAACCCAAAAACAAACAACATGTTTCCGCGGTCACAATTAAGTTCACTCACGCTTTCAAACTGAAATTTTACAGCTAAGCAAATAAAAAAAAMCAAGAAATATCGAATTTTCGCACTTCTCTCAATCCTGCTTTCCTTCACTCGCTTTTCTATTTTCTCTTTCGAAATATTTCACCGATATTTTTATGCTATTATTTAAGACTTCGTCAGACAAAATTCACCTGATAAATTCAAATCTTTTGGGTTAAACCAAGAAAGTATTAAGTAATTAAACAATATCAGATTCCCAATGAAATATTCGATAGTAGTTTGAACGTTACACACATCCGTCAATTCATGCCTTTTGTCTTGTTTTGTATGTAAGTCCCTCTTAAGCAACAGTGCTCTAAATTTTGTAAAATCGCGAGGATGTTTTTGCAAGGCGGGAAGATATATATATTTTTATTCGTCTACATAAATCTCTATTGAATCAGAATTAAGTACATGTAAACAACAGTATATTATTTTCCAAGGTCACAAAGACAACTAGAGAGTAGGCTGATTAAGATTCCCGTTTTTCTTTCCCGCAAACGGCAAACGTGACCACGTTTTCATCGTTTCCCTACATTTGATTTTACCTTTTGCAAACCTTTTCAACAAAGACAAGTATTCTTTTGTTCATATTTACTACTTAGAGATTTTTGCGATTCCTTTTCACTATTTTTAAAGAATATTTTAATGGTCAACTGACTTTTCACGTTTGCCGTAAACGAGAATCTTAGACTCTCTACTTTACGTAGGAGTAGGAGGAACGTCGCCTCGGAGGGTTTCTAGCCTTAAGGCTACAACTTAATAATCACTGCAAAGCCAAAGAGACTGATTAACATGCAGATAACGAGAAGTAAGAAGCATGGGTAGTGAGCACTCTTCATCTGATGCGACCCGGGTTCGATTCCTGGGCTCGGAGTCCTATTTGAGTAGGTTGCCACTATTTTCATCGCTACGCTAATCGAGACGACATATGCGGCCGGGAAAATCGGACAATATATTGTTTGCTACCGTTGCATACTCAGACGGGTGCCTTTGACGGGTATAGACACCAGTGCCAACGAGAAATATCTTGAGGCAGATTTTCAACCTTGCTTTAGGCTAAAGCATAATGAAAAGACATAAATGATACTAAATGGAATGACGACGCGTGGCCTAAAAGGAAAAAAACATTTTGCCAAAAGTAGGGACAAAGTTTATTGCTTCCTTAATCGATCATATTAGCAAAAAAAATCTTTAGAAGCTAGATTAGGTTTAATAACGAATCTGAAATTGCAGTAGCTTTTTTGACTTCCAACGGGTTGCGATACTATTTTCGATTGGTGATTCAACTGGCTGGCGCCAAAAGACGCCTATTTTAGAAAATTGGCCATAAATTAAATTAAGTCATAATTTTTTTTCATTTGCTTGCGTTCAATTTAATGAAATTACATAGAGGATATTACATAGGCGCGCGGAGATACGAAATTTATCTTCGAGTGTTGAAAAGATCTCTCACAAGTGAGCGCAGCGAACGAGTGAAAAGATTTTCAACACGAGAAGATAAATTTCGTATCTCCAAGCGCCCATGTAATATTCTGTTTATTATATAATTATCAATGGAGTATGTTTTGGCTTTTTCAGGCAATTATTTCCGTGTATTTTTGAATAGTCATCGCAATGGTGTTATCTTCACACATGAAAATAACATGTTATTTTCACGTGTGAAGATATCAATTTTTCGAAATAGAGAAAAATAGATATTTCATTGGTAATTATATAATAAAAATATATCTTATTCGAAATATCAGTCAGGTTGCAGTAGCGGTGAAGATTATGCGATATCGATCTCTACTCTAATAACTTTACTCTACTTATTATTTATAGTTAGATAGTATATGACTTACATTACCATGTGAATGCTTTTTATAGATTACCTTTAAAACGTTAACAACAGTAAGGGCAATCGAACTGTTAACACTTTTTTTTTTTAAATGCATACTGAAATCTTCCTTTGAGTCAATCGAATCAATGAAAATAAATTTACTAGTTTTTTAGCTAGTTGTATCTCTTCTGAAAATGAATTTGTTTTGATCAATTAAATATTGCTTCATTATAGAGGGTTTGAAACAATAGAAAGTTCAAGAAATAATAACACGAAAAAAATTTAAAATTCTCGCACGGTTCGATTGTTTTCACTTTATAAGTCGACTCTCAAGATGGTTAGTATTTGGCTTCATAGATATAATAAGATTGTAAGGCGCTCAGATCTGGATCAGCCTAATACGATAGATTAAACAGGGGTAAATACACGATCAAGAATGACCATGGCATACCTAGACAATATCCTAGCCGAGCTCAGTTTATCATTACTCAACGCGTTTACACTTCAGAAGTCGAAAAAAAATCAAAATACGATAAAATAGACGTATAAACTTATATATAGGATAAGAAGTAACCTCAAAACCTTATTTGTCCCTTATTCACAGCTTACCTCAGCTTACCACAAAAATTTAGTCAATTATTCTTCGTCCTTTCTTACCTCCAACAGGTTTCAAATGAGAGCAAAACTAACAGTACTGTTATCATTTATTATATCAGACAGCATTCAACGGGTTCTGATTGGACGCCCTAAGTTTTTTCCTCGCATTTTGATTGGCTCAGACAGTGATGGCCAGCCCAAAATTTCCCACCATTTCTGT